ACATCATATAATATTAAATTTTGTAAGTCATAGGGGTATAGGTGGGATACATGCAAACAACAAAATGTATACAATATTATTATCGTTCGACTATCAATCTATATTATAATACCATATAACTAAATACATACATATATATTTATATATACATATATATTTATATATACGACAGGAACTGTGTGTGCCAATATACGATAAATTAAAATTCGTCGCAGTAAATATAGCTAAAAAAAAAAAAAAATAATAATAAAAAAAACACGGGGCGTCGAACGGCCGCAAAGCTTCGTCAAAGTTTTAATGCGTCACTGGGTCATTTGGGCGGTAGTGGCATTGGAAACCCTACCAAAATCGTATGTAAGTGGAAGTACTACATATTATTATTATTATTTAGGATATATTATGTTATAAATACGTGTACCGTACATGTTATACCGGGTATTATAATATTATAATCATACGAACAAGTATAATAATACCTATAATACATGTATATAGCAACAATGCAACATAATTTGATAATACATGTCGGTATTCGGTTACATAATATATTATTAAACCTATACTATAAGATAGGTACGAGGCGTACACGTGAACATATTTTAGGGCTTAAGAGCAGATACTTCGTATAATATACTTCGAGTTCGGTCCCCTCTCCACTGGCGGAAACTTTGCGACCGGTCCGGTGGTTCACGTACCGTTGGTTTAAATAAATTAACTAAATTAAAAACGAGTAAATATATAAAATTTTACTATGTAATAATAATAATAATAATATTCGTGCTCGAGATTTATACAACAGTTGTGGTAGGTAGTATAAGTAATTCCCCTATAAAGTCGTCGGTCTTTCGGTTCGTATATTAAAGTCGTCAGCGGCTCGCTCACGATCTCACGTGGACCCAAGTTGCATATAAATAGTTTTACTCCGAGTGAAACATTAACCTATAAACGTGTAATAAGTCTATAATATAATAGATCTACGGAAAGAATTCTTCCTAATAACCTATGGGGCTCTATCGAGGGCGAAACGTTTCCACTATGATAATATTACTATTAAATATATGGCGTTTTGGCGGATGTGTATCACTCGACGCACACAATGCGTATAATAGGTACAGGTTATTATTATAAACGTATTATGGTAATATTATACACACGACGACACACAAATACTGATTTACAGGGTGGTGGCGGTCGGCCGTCTCGCATATTATAACGGCACCTATATGCCCGTCGCGTGCACTCGTATTATAGGTAGGTACACGGCGGCTAAAAAAAAAACCCCAGAGAAATAAAAAAAAAAGCCCAGAGGGCAATAATATATGTATACGGCACACCGCGGGGACGGCTATATAATTTAAAAACGTTTTGCGTTTGCGAAACACTGAAAAAAAAAAAACGTTCAAAATAATAATAATAATAATAATAATAAATAAAAGCGAAAAAAAAAACCGTTTGGGCGAGTGAAAAGATGAGCGGGATTTTATTCCCGGTTTCTTTCTTTAGTTGGTTTTTTTTTTCATTTTCCTCGCAGGCCACGACGACAAAGGGACGCGCCCGTACCCACACAACATCCATGTGATGTTCTGCTGCGTGCGCGTAGACAGGTAGGCGCCCAACGTACTATAATATATAATACTACAGGTATAATATGATAAGGTGGGGTCGGGGAAGGGAAGACATTCGAAATGTACGTCGCGATAACAAAAGGAGACGTTAAGTACTCGGGAAAACTGTGTGTGTGTGTGTGTTTTTTTGTCCTCCGGTAGCACTATATATGGGTACACTCGTTCGAATAAAAGTAAAAAAAAAAACAGAACGATATACGCGTGTCCGTATATATGTTGTACGATACGTATATATTATGATTGGTGTCGGAAAACAACGCTCGCGGTTTCGAGGGCGTTTTCTTCTGTCGTATATATCCTTCGGATAGGGACGGTGCGTCTCTCGGCGTCTCTATATATATATATATATATATCTCTCTCGGAAGTCATACACAAAAATTGATTACAACGCGCGCGCACGCCGGTGTATCGAGAGTTCGCGTGTGTACCGCGGGCGGGGTGAGAGGATTTCGTTGGACCGTTGCCCGCATCGTATTCGGAGTGCAAAAGGAAAAAAAGGTTAAAAAAAAAAACCGTGTAAAGAAATTATGGAAAAGGAAAAGTATACCTAGGTAGTAAAAAAAAAAAAAGAAGTAGATCCGAGTCTTTGGTACAAGCGAACTGCCGTCGAGGAGAAGTGAGCACAATAAAGTAACCGCCGCGTGCGGGAGAGAGCGAGAGATACCGACAAGTAAAAAATAAAAAATATATAATAATGAACTCAAACGTTCTCGAAAACGTAATTCATACTATTTTATTTCACTCTCCGCGGATACGTACGAACGAGCACACAACCGTCGGTACAATTCCTAATACAATTCTAAGCAAACAGCCTTTTTGTAATAAATAATAATATAATATTACAACGGTTAGGTATTGCGTTAACATGTACATCAGCTGTATTTCGATACGTTAGACGACTTTTCGGGGCAATTTAAGTTTTGATTGCGATTTTCTAAAATAAAAGAGCTGTCTCGCTCGGTGTGGTCGGTCGTGAATATTCGAGTCCATTACAATCGTTTACCGACGTACATTTTTGTCGTGAAATCACGTAAAAAAAATTAATAATATGCACTCTAGGTCCGAAAACCGTGAGCGGAATTTTGGGCAATTTTAGGGTCTGTTCAAAAATCAAATATGCTTTGAACATAATACTATATATACTGTGTGGTATAACACTGGGCACGAGGAAGGACTTGGTCGGTATTATTATAGGTATATGATTGCATACAGTGACGGGTCGGGCAAGTTTTTCGCATATTGATTTAGGTGTATTACCCGTTCCGCAGGTATTTGCGTCCGCCAAAAGTTTCGATAAAAGTTATTAGGTAGGGATATAATATTATGTTTTAATCTTTTCGGCATGAAAAAATAACATCAGATTTTCAAAACCGTAAGTAGGGTACAAACAAAATATGTAATAGAAAAAAAAACTCAAAACTGAGAGTTAAAAGAGCATAATATTATTCTATTATACGATAGTACACTATATCGTTTAGAGTTGACATTTTTTTTCTTTGAATTTTTAGACGAATACAATAATATAATACATATGTTTATTATTATCGGAAACATTACTGCGGACGGTCTTTTTTTTTTCCTTTCTATTTGAAAACTGATCGAAACGATTTTACACGAACGGATGAATATAGTGGTTATTATTATGTATGCTATGCGATCGGTTATGCTATAGCGATTTAAAGTCGAGAGTAGGTAAGTACGCGAAAACGAGATTTCACACAATAATAATAATAATAATTCCCGAATACATTGCGTTGGCCAAACTCAACTGTAGACTAATACGCGGATCAGACGAAACCGTAATATCTGTGGGTACAAGTGTCTGCAGGTAAATTTCAAAAAACATTGAGCAGGAAAAAAAGTGATGAATCATTCAATTTAAGTAAAATACGATTTCATCGGTGAACATTATTGATCAGGCGTATAAAATATACCTGCACTATTACAAGCTCAATATTTGAAAAGTTATACGTATAAGTATGCGTTATTGCAAAATAATTTTATAAATCCGCTACCTGTGAACTAAAAGTGTGCACGTCACCATGCACGTAACACTATTTGAAAAACGACAAGTCTCGAAGTTTTGCGTTTTGATCGTTCTTAAAACTTTGTCGACCATATCCATCGAAAACACCCCGAAATCCAAACACGTCAATATTCAAACCCACATATTTTCCGGGTACAGTGATTGTATACCGAAAATACATTTCGACAACTCTGTAACATAATAACAATAATATGGTGTCGTTGCGATGTCGTGTGCAAATCATATGTTGTTATATTTTAGGCACGGACAGAATGTGTGTCGGACGAGAAGCGGTCTCCGTACACGCGCGAGTCGTAAAACCAGAGGTACCAGTATGGTATAATTTCATAATCTAAAGTGCTTGACGGTCGTAAATTCGATCGCGGTCCTCGCAAGATTACCGCCGGGAGAGAGAGACGTGAGAGAAGAGAGAGAGAGAAACTATGGCGGACGAAATGTATTAGAAGTAAAGGTCGTCATTGGAGTAGTAAAAATAGTTTCGAGTAGCATGTAGGGGGAGGTTCGTGGGGTACTTGTTCACTAAAATAATTCCCTAACCGACCGAAAAAAAAATGCCCACGATTGAATAGAACCTACCTTTACCTATTTTATAACATGGAGTGTACCTACCTAATAATGTTCAAACTGTTATTGATTTATAAGTTGGATTTTATTTTGAGATTGAAAGTATAGTTGATTTTTATTTGAACTAGTACCTATACTATTAATATTACACAGTTATAAAGTTAGACAAGTTTTGATTTTTCGTCGTGCAATATGCATATTATAGTTATGTTTGATTATAATAATTAATTATCATTTATTATAGTACGTTTTCGTAATGTTGAAGTATTATAGGTATGCGTAAAAGAAACTTATAATAATATGTCACAATCTGATATTTACTATTCAAGACACTACACAAATTGTGGTTTTGATAGGGCAGGAGATAGTTATGCGAGTTGGTTATTTATTTCTAAAAAATTCATTGAGTACTTAGTAGTTGTAGTATTTCTTTAAGTAGGTATATAGTAACACTATAGTTGTGAGTATTGCGACCATCAGTATAATATTTGAACCGGACTGCCGTCGGACAAGTCTGAGTGTCGTTGCAATAATACTAATTAAATGCGTCTTATACGGTTTGTTCAATTAATAATATTTACTATGGCGGTGAGTCTACACGGCTGAACGAAAAATGACAAAAAAATTAAAATCGTACATGAAAAAAAAAAACGAAAACAAAAAAAAAATTAAAGAAATTAACAGATAAAAATAAAAAACGAAAAAAAAACTTATATATCGTAAAAACGTGTATTGTATATTTTACTTAAGAGCGTCGGTCGAGATCAAACGTCGGTTCCGCATCCTTCCTGGTATCCTTCGTCCGGCGACCCCTTGTTCAGGGCCCGCTTGAGCGCGCTCAGAGGCGGCATCACCTGCACCCCGTGTTTCCACACCCTGAGACTGGCCGCCTTCGGGTCCGGCGCCGCGGCCACCATCACCGTTTCCCTGACGCTGCAGACGGCCGCCACCGACTGAGCGGGCAGCGGCGGCGACTTCTCGATGATCGGCGTCCGGTCGTTGGCCGCCGCGTCAGACGGCGTCCAAAAACCGGGCGAGTAGAGCGAATCGTCAGCCGTCCTCCTGTACTCGCCGCTCGCTGACCTCCTGGCCTGCTGATGGTGCTGAGAGTGTACGGCGCCCAGCGGCTGAGACTGAGGCGAATGCTGTTCGGGAGCGTCCACTATCAGGTCAGGGTTGGAGGGTTGGCTCCGGTACAGCACTGTCCGGCCGGCGTCCAGCACGCCGCCGTGGCCAAAACCACCGGTATCGTAGTGGTCGGTGGCGAACGACAGTTCGGTGAGCTTCGCTGGTCTTCTGACCCCTCCGACCACGGTCTCCGCGGCCGGTGCTTGGTCGAACCCGGCGTCGAGTCCACCGTACGGTCCGCCGACCGCCACAGCCACCGACGAAACGACCGTTGTGGTAGCTGGAGAGGTGGCCTGGCCGGACGCGGGCTGCTTGACCTGCACAACTACGGTGGCCGTACCGTTGCTGGTCGCCGACGCCGCAGTGGTGACCAGATGGTGCGGCTTGCCGTCGGACCGGGTGGACGAAGGTGGCAGCCGCTTGATCCGCACCAGTAGGTAAACGATGACCAACAGAATGGTGACGATGAGGAACACCAGGAACACGCTGAGGCCGGCTACCTGACCGTTGGCCAGGAACGCGAGACCACCGAGCCGGGTGACGACCAGCGTAAAGTTGGCCTCAGCCCGACCAGCCCGGTTTTCGGCCACGCACAGGAACTGTCCAGAGTCGGACGGCTGAACGTTAGTGAGCAGCAGTGAACTATGCCCGGTACCGCCACCCGTGGCCGTCCGGTCGTCGGTCATGAACACCCGCTGGAACGGGCCGAACGCCGTGTTGTTGGCCAGTGGCCGACCGTTCCAGTACCACGAAACTTTGGCGGCCGGCGACGAGTGGACACGGCACGAGACGGACGCGTTGTCGCCAGTGGCCGCCTGCACGGTTTGGTCGTCCTGCTGCAGGATGTCGGGTTGGCACGCAAAGTCATCGGCGGTCAGTGCGGAGAACGTGCGGTTGGCCACGCGGCCCGGGCCGCTTGCGCACGCCGGGTCGACGGCCGTCGGCACGTTGTTGTCGGTTAGCCACACCTTGACTGGCCGCATGCGGCAGTCGCAGTGCCACGGGTTCTCATGCAGCTCGACGCCATGCACCTTGTGCAGCGTAGCCACCGTGCCGGCCATCAGCTCAGTCAGCCGGTTGTCGTTCAACTTGAGCGTCTCCAGCCTGTCGATGCCCACGAACGCGCTGGCCGCGATCTCATGCAGCTCACACCCGGACAGGTCCAACCGGACAAGGCCGGTACACTGCCGGAACGCTTCCGGCCCTACGCGCTGTATGGGGTTGCCGGCCAGCGACAGGTCCCGGAGCAGTGGCACGTCGGCCAACGTGGCCGTGGGTACCGCGGTCAGCATGTTCCGGGACAGGTCGATCTCCACCGCGTTGGTTAGGTCCCGGAGCGCCCGGCCGTCGATCTGCCCGATCCGGCACCGGGACATGTACACTCGTTGCAGGTTGAGCAGCCCGAGCCGGGCGAACGCGCTTCCCGGAAGTATTTGCAGGTTGTTACCAGACACGTCCAGCACCTGCGTGGCCGCGTCAATGCCCGTTGGCACCGTTATCAGTGACTTGTCGCGGCACTCGACGCTCTGCTTGCCACCCTTCCACTTGCACTGGCACGCTTCCGGGCAAGCGTCGGCCCGGACCGCGGTCGCGCCGGCGGCCGCCAGCACCGCGGCCGCCAGCCACAGATGCCACCGGCGGGCCATCAAGCGGCGCGGCCCGTCGCCCGAGCGTGGCCGCTGGACGACGGCGGTGACGGCGCCGAAGTCGTCACGACGCCAGCCACACGAATGACGCCCACGCGACCGATCGCCACCGCCACGCGCATCGAAACGCGCGCGAAAATGTGACGAAATGATTTACCGTTGAGGTTTTCAAAACGACGACGTTGTATGATGTGCGATACACCTCTGTTCGGATAATATTATATTATTATAATTGTACTCACGCACCGCCGGACGTCGATCACTATATTCCGTACACGGTTTAAAAACTTAAGCGAAAAAACATGAACACTGTTAGAACGCCGCGTTAGATGGCGAACGGAATGTCTAAAATATCCAAAAAAAAAAATAAAAATATATCCACTCGATTAAGCGAGACAAGCGCTGCTCGAGACGACGACGACGACGACGAAACGACAATCGCACACGGCCACACGTAATCCAAACGATGTCCGACGGTCGACTGGCGCACGGGGGAAAAATACGTCTGTCGGTCGCGGCGGAGCACCGGCGGCGGCGGCGATACCGGGCGAAATACGCGCCGAGCAGCGCCATCGGGCGGCCGGACGTCCAACCACGGTCGCGGTAACCACCACCCGGCGATACGTCACGGTCGCGAGTGGATCGGCGCAGATCGAAGGGGTGTGATGAGGGTGCAAGGGTGCTGTTGATGCTGCTGCTGCTGCTCCTGCTCATCACCCCGAATTCTAGAGCTATCACCGTGAATCCCACGACAGTTGTACCGCACTCTGTCCTATTTTCCACATCGCCATGATGGGTATTTTATATTATTATCATAGGTATATCGTAATAATATATGATGAAAAATAATATCAAGTCGTCTCGAATAATTCGCTTACAAGACGTGTTCTCGGTTTACGTAAGCCAAATCATTTTTACGGTTTAATAATATTATGTATTATTATTGTAGATAATATACTTAAATATGTATGGAATATAGATTATATACCCAGTGAAAATCTGATGGAATCGTAATTGTTTTAATATTTAAATATCTCCAGATTCGTCATGAATAATAATATATTATTATAGCTTGCAGTGTGATTCTGAAACTAATGTGGGGGACACTCAATATTTTAAATAACATATTTTGGTATACTTATTGTAGAATTGATTTTTAATATTTAACATTTCCCTTATTTGCTCCGGTCTCTGTGTTTTTTGGTCGATCCATCTATCATCATTCGAGTTATAAATAATCACCTTATTTTTAAATAGTCTGAACTCTGAAATAGAATATTTTCATAAAAACATGGATGAATGCATAAAAATATATTGTATTCAATTATATTAAATTGGTTTCCGATTTCTTTCCATACCAAATATAACAAGTTTCTCGTGGACAGATTTTTTGGTGCAAGCGTTCTATTGATACATACAGGAACCGAATACTATTTTTTCTCATTCATTTTATGGACAATAATTTAATTTAACTTATTCTCTGGTGGTAGACCATACCAGCTTAAGAGTAGAACTTTTTTTATTAAATCAATCTAAAATTGTAGAAATTGAGAATGTCCTCTTCAATAAATAGTTAGGTACCTACACTGAACAGTAAGGCATATGGCATATACCTCAAATGTAAAAAAAAAATTATTTATTAATGTATTTTATTTTTATTACGTTTAGGTTACTCAAAAATCATAATAGTAATATAATATTGTGGTTTGTGATTCATCAAAAATACACATAATATAACTTCTACACATTTGATTTACCTAATCTAAATCTTACTATATTATTCTCATAAGGTATTATAGGTATTTTCCATTTCTAGGACACAATATCAACAATTCTAAATTTAAAAACTTAGAAAAATCTTTTCTATTTTTTATATTTATAATTTAAATAGATACTATAAAATAATAACAGTTCAAATAGAAATAAATAGAAAAAGACATATTGAAATTTCTTTATATAGTCAATCAATTTCAATTTTTCAAATGATCAATATAGAATTATATTATGTGTACAGGTGTTATGAATTCGGAATATAGTAATTACCATTACCATTGTACTCCTCATAGAGATCTGTAAATTTATTTTTGATTTGTGGTAGAATACTAGAATGGTCCAATGGTACCACCGCCCAATGAAATTTTTTTTCGTCAGCTGTAAATTTTTTAGTGGTATTTTCAGAATAATAAAATTGATGTTATTGTGATTGACATAAATCAATATTAAACAAATTGTATTGAATTATTGACTTTTTAGTATTATTAAATAGGTTCTATTTCATCGAAATTAAATATTTATTAAATCAAGGCTTTCCCCGGCCAGTGTGACGTAATTCACCAAAATAAAGGTAAAATATTATGTTGTAAACGAAACACATTTTTAAACTCAAATGTACATATTTTACCGTTACTTGACGTAACATACCAATATTTGTAGCCAATGATAATAAATTTAAAATAACACACTGATTTTTTTTTATTTAATATCTTTCTAATTAAATATCTATGCTTAAAACTGCTTAACTGTCAATACAAGTAAATTAATAATAATATGTGTACTACCTGATATTATAATATATATATTGTGTTCATCAGTAAAAAGTAAAACATTTTAATGACAGCACACATATTACTTAAACTGGTCATCGTAGAATTTACAGACTCACATCCATTATCCTAGAGGGGTATAGCATCAGCACCAAATATTGTGTAAATATCTATCAGATTCAAACTTTAAAGCAATTTAAATTTGTTCGGTCCATTTTGATTTTAGAGGTTTTAAAATTATAAATTTGGTTAAGTGATCTCGGTAGTTCATATTATGTGACCCAGATAATTACTGTAGTTTTGCGATTACATGCCAATTAAATCAATTTACGCTCTTAAATTAAATGCCGGATGTATATAATTGGTTTTGTCACTATTCCTCTTTTTAGATTACGCTATTTTCCTGCGTACGCCTAGTATAAGTGTGAAATAACTGACTCATATTTGTATCAGCCATCGTCCTATCGCTACCATACTAGATCTGACCTTGTGAAAAACGTAGGGGTGTGAAATGTGCTGTGTGATTAACTTCAGTCAACTATCGTCTACTGCGATGTAATATAAAACGTTGGAGTCATATTTTTCCATCATAGGTTTTATTAATGATCGTCACAATAGCATATATTTATGCATAACTCTATTATTTGTCACCGTTGTCTTGTATGTTACCATTTCCAATTCCTTTACTATTTTCGAATCTTATTGCTGTATTCATCTGAACTAAAATAAAAATAAATATTGTCGTCTCTTTTTATTGTGCATCATTTTGTCGATTGCTGCATTAAGCTTTATTCCTTGTACGCCGTACTATATTACTATAATAAATATAATAATAATAATATGGTACTTTATAGGTACCTACTATTAAACTTGTATCTAAACAGTTTACAAGTCAATGCATATTATTATGCTTTTAAGAAATCATTATAAAATATGCTCGTCGCACAAACATCTCGGCTGAATATACCCGAGGATAGGTATACTAGCTGAGATCCTACGTTTTCATACGTTGCCAATATTTCGTTTCCCTAAGGAGGTTTCACTCGTCTATCTATACTTTCGTCGTGATATAATATTATTATTAATTAACGAAGCCAAATCCCAAATTCGCTTAACACTATGCGTCCTAGGAGTCGCTCACGCCGACACACTGCCATAAAATATGTATACTGAACATCATTCTCCAACTCAACCTAATTGACGTCAATAACTGGGGAATATACCTACCCACACTATTACAACATTTATAAATTTGTAGGTAACATTGACGACGTTCACTGCCGTAACATACGGTAAACGCTAAAACAAGACGTAACCTACATTTTCACAAAACAATATATTATAATGTGGGGCCGTTTACTGTTCTTTTACATATAAACAGTGACACAAAACCGTTATAAATAATCGAAATACAGTGGTCTTGTAATGGTGGTGTATTATAAAACATTTCAACAGCATCTCGGTTAAACGAAAACGGGAGCATTTTAAAACGTCGCAGTATCGATTCGGGTTAAACGCTAACATCTATTACTACCAGACCTCGACGTTATTTAAATATATTTATACATATAGAATTAGCTGGCTTTGATAATATATGACGGGCTTTTGGTTGTTTTTGCAGTGTTATGCAGAAAACGAGTTAGGTACCTCCCGGCCACCCCGGACTGTACCGCACTGTGAGCGAAAAACACTAAGGGCCATATTCATTGTCGATGCTTATTGCTTAAGAATAAGTATTGCTTAAGCTATACTTATGACTCAAACAAGATTCATAAACGAGACTTAAACTTAAGAAAAGAAAAATTATTACTTAAATTAATTATTGCTTTTAGTTATGATCACACATTTTTTTTTTTTTAAATTATCAAAATTAGCTTAAGCAATACTCATTCTTATGCATTGATTAATGATTATATGGCCCTAAAATTCGATTTACTTTTCATAGGATTCTCTGGAAGCCGGTAGTGCTCTGCATGGTCCGGTCTTAATCAGTCCGGTCCGGACCGGACCGGACCACGGTCTGATTTGGTCCAGTCCTATGAAATAAAATTAAGAAACAGTTTGGTTCGGTCTAGTTCCATAAATTTAAAAATTAATTCGGTCTAGTCTCAACAGATATATTTTGTTTAACAGTTCGGTTCGGTCGAATAAAATATTCATATTTAATTTCAACTCGGTCCTGGTCCAGGTTTGATACCGGTTCCGGTATTGGTCCGGTCTTCGGTCCCGGTTCCGCCGTAGGTATACGATTTTATATTTAGAAAGAATTATACATATTACATAATATTATACATTTTATAAAATGTTAAATTTCCGACACATTTTATCTCTCTATTTTTCCAAGAATAAATAATAATTACGGTATAGAGGTGAACTTGTATAACAACAACAAATAATTGAAATAGGGGCATAAAGTATAAACAGCACGCGGCAGCCACCAGGGTACCTATAAATATA